TTGATAGAAGTATATTAATTGTACTCGACAAATATAATTAATTTAACATAAAAGATACAAAAAATGTAGGTTAAATGCTTAATTTGGTCCCTTAACTTTAAGAAATGAACATTTTTGGTCCCTCAACAATTTTTTGCACTTTTTTGATCCCTCAACTATACAAAATGCACTCCGTTAGTCCTTCTGTTAATTTGGACTGTTAACCCTGCTTAGATGGTATTTTTTATATTTTTTTTGATGATGTGGAGAGCAAAACTTAAAAAAGTGATGACATGTATAAAACTTCTGCCATGTCACATGCTACCTGACAAAATCACGCCAAATACATCCAAATGGGTCCCACATCACCATCTTTGCCCATCGGTTACTGTTTTTCTTCCTTCCATGTTTGACGGAACCCAACAGATCTGGGTTTGATGTAACCCAACAAATAGGTTCTATCAAACCCAGCTCGATTCACTGAACTCAATTGCCCAAAAATTCCTCACAACAACCTGCAATTGCACAAAAATCCCTCAAAAACAACAACCTGCAATTGCCCAAAAATCCACAACAACCTGCAATTTGAATAATCTCTTGGCAAACAATTATATAACAAAAACAAAAAACCAGTTGCCCAACAATAACTAACAACAACCTGCAATTTGGATAATCTCGCAAACAATCATATAAACAAAAAAAAAAAAAAGTGGAGCTGGGTTCTGGATTCCGTTGAACCCAGCTATTGGGTTCGATGGAACCCAGTTGCTGGATTCCGTTGAACCCAGCTATTGGGTTCGATGGAACCCAGTTGCTAGGTTCGCTGGAACCCAGCAAATGGGTTCTATCGAACCTAGATCTGCTGGGTTCACCGGAACCCAGCCACTGGGTTTGATGGAACCCAGTGCTGGGTTCGTTGGAACCCAGGCGGGGTTCCGTTGAACCTAGCAAACTAGGTTCAATGGCCTGCTAAGGAAGAAGAGGAAGAAACAAGAGGAAGAAGAGGAAGAAAAAGAGAAAGGAAGAAGACATGAGTTTTTTATTTTTTATTTTTAAATATAAATAATGTGAGTTGGCAAGAAAAAAAAATCCATATCATGAAAAAAAAATCCACATCAACACGTTTTTAATTTGTTTTTGCCACGTCATCAAAAAAATAATAAAAAATGCCACATAAGCGAGTTAACGATCAAAATTAACAGAAGGACTAACGGAGTGCATTTCTTAAAGTTGAGGGATCAAAAAAGTGCAAAAAATTGTTAAGGGACCAAAAATGTGCAACTCACTAAAGTTGAGGGACCAAATTTAGCATTTAACCAAAAATGTACTGTTAAGATATATAATTATGTTAGTCTAACAAAATATCAACCCTCCCAATTATTTTAGTTGAGGCAGGCATGTTTAACTTAACAAGGGAATTGAAAATTGACAATATTAAAATCTTCAAACTAATATGAAAATAATGTGGCCTATTAGCTCAATTGATTAAAGCATGGTGCTAATATGGAAAATTAAGGTTGTAGGTTTAAGACCTACATGGGCCATAATTGAATTTTGCTACCACCCTTATATTCTTTCCTCACTTCTGCACGTGAAAATTGTTAGAAAAATAGTTATACACCAGGTGGTCAACATGGTACAATTTTGTTGACTAAGATTTGGCTAGCTAAGTAAAATAGTTGGTTCAATTGCCTTCGCACCTACCATATCCTCCACCTTCACCATACTATAACCACATTTGTGATAAGTGGAGCTCATCACTCACATTAGTCTCTATTTATTCTGAGACTATGAAGTAACAACTTAATATAAGTTGGATTATAAAATATCATTATCTAAAGTTTAATAATAAAGTTATGATTTACTAACAAAAATTTGGTTAAATTAGTATCCATTAATTTAAAAATCTTAATTTAGGATAAAGATTAGAGGTTCAAACTTTTATGATACCAAGTAATTAACTTTTTGATATATATATAGGAAATACTATCTATCCACCTTATTTCCTAAAGATTAAAAGAAAAATAATCTGAAAACTACGTTATTTCAATAAATTTTCATTAAAAAAGACTAAAATATTATATTTTTAAAACATGAATTATAGTGTTTTTTTATCATTTTTTATAGTATTTTATTAAAACTACGTAGTTTTAAAAGAATTTTTCCCCTAATCTTTAGAAAGTAAGCATGATAAGCATTAATTATATATATATAAGGATTTTTTAAAATTGAAGTGGTAAAAATTTGAGGGCTCAATCGAAATTACAAAAACATCTGGGGACTTAAATTTGGTTTCCCATTCCCTTTCCCTCTTGACATAGCCAGGTCAAACAGACGAGGGGTACACCCTTACAGACTACAGACTACAAGATAATAGACGTATGAGCATAGAGGACGTTGTCGCTTTTCGTCCTGATACCCACAGATTTTTTACGATACCTTGAAATCGAAATCGAAATCGAAATCGAAATCGAATTCAATCAAGCAGCAGATCCAATCTTCGATCATCTTCTCAACCGCCGCATTCAAGGTAAGCATTTGCTAATTCAATTCCTGAATTGATTGAATTTCCGGTGCTAATTTCAGTGTTTAATTAACCCAAAACGAAGATTTCATTGATGTTTCTGGTTTTTCCCTTTAATTATAAACAGTCCATCAAGCTTTCTGGAGATGGTGCGGCATGGTTCATTTTCTGGTTCCGGTCGCCCCGATGCCCATAGGCCTTTGGACACACGCCCTCCCCCTGAACTTTTGGAGAACAAGATTGCGGTTCAGGCGGCGGAAATTGAGGGACTT